CGTTGTGTAAACAAAGTTCTTTTTCTTCAGCAATCATTCGTTTCAAGGCAGGCAAAATAGGATCTGTCTGACTTGATTCATTTCGGATTTTAGTATAGAATCGGGCAAAATCTATAATTGTTGCTTTCAGTTGCTTCAGAGTTGACTTCATGGATTGAAAAGATTCTATAATTGTTTCATCAGAAAGTATATATTGAAGATCATAATTGATTACAACATGTTTTTTGCGACCACAGTTGCAGTGATTACTTTGATCCGGAAAAACATGTGAGTCATCTTGAAATATCCAAAAGTCATTCAAACACTCACGAGTAAGTTTACATGCATAACAAATAGCTGATGCGTCACTGAGAGCAACAGGACAGAGTTTTATTAATCGATCTATTGGATTTCTTTCTAATGAAATGATATTTCGGAGAATATTTCTTGAGGTTTCCAACATTGGACGAGCCATTTGACTGATTTTGAATTGAGCATGTTCAATTGATCGCCATTCATTCTGAAAATAAGGCTTGAGTTCTTGATCACAAATAAACCGAAGTAGACGATCTGATTCAGTGACTGAGCTGCTCCAACTTTGTTGATATTCATTCTCTTGATATTCATCGAATTTGATTCCATTTTGTAAAGCGACTAGAAAACGAAATGATTCACTATCGAAACAAAATGTATTTGATTTTCTGAAAGGAATCTCTTTGATTGGACATGATGAAATCATTTCTTTCAGTAGTAAAGCAGTGTTACCGGGAGCAAAGAAAGTCGCTCGAGTATTGGTGAAACAAAAGATAATATTATGACGAGCGTTTTCACCTAGAAACTTTAACAAACGATCAAAGTATGAACGAAGAATGATATTTAATCTTGACTCATTAGGTTTGAGAAGAATACAAATTGCGTTTAAATGTGGGAGATTACTGATAAATGAAATAATATGTTGCAAGTTAAGATCATCTTGAGTAAGATCGCATGTATCTCCCATTCCAGGGGTGTCGATTATTCTGATTTTTGTTCTGGTGCCAATTGGAAAAACATATGATCTACAATGTTGAGTTACTGATTGTCCTGGATGATAGTGGTCTTCATTAAAATCTTCATCACCGAATGTAATAATCTTTTCATCAAATTGATCACCGACAGTCATCATAAATGAAACAGGCATAACAACTACAGGTTTGGCAGAACGAGCCATTTGAAAAGATTCAAATGTAATGTAATTGACAAGTGCATTGGTGAAAGTTGATTTTCCAACACCAGATTCTCCAAGAAGAAGAACATTGATATATTTCTCAGTTACTGGACCTGATGAATCAGGATATCGGATATTCTTCGAAATATCAGCTGAATTTGATTGGGTCAATGAGTTTTCTTTGTTATTCTGTTCTTGCACAGAACTCTGCTCGTTTTCTGTTAATGGCAATGATGTGTATTCCACAGTTAATTTTTCTGACGGTTTTGTTTGAGCAATTCGTCCTTTGGTGTTGTCACTATGATCTCCTGTCTGTTGACTGGCTTCTGAATCCGATAGTAAAACTGATGTTGACACATTGATATTGTAATCTTCAGAGTTGGAGTGATTTTTCAACCGAGACATGCATGTCATTATCATTGATGATGTCAATGCTGATGAAGAACTGACGGATACTTCAGATTTTATTGGTTCTAATTCTGTTGGTGACGTAGTATGTAGAATAGATTTTGTCAAGGGATTTGGTATTTTGAATTCCTCTTCATTGAGATTATTTAGCTCAGTCGACGATTTAAAGTTTTCTTCACTTGATATATTTGATAATTCGTGTGAGTCTGAAGGACTTTTCATGTCTGTTAATTGAGTCCTTTTTTGTGGAAGAGGTTCTGTAACTAGTGATGAAGATGATATCGACAGAGTAACTTTTCCTACGTTGTCCGATGGGCCTGTTGGAGGGTATGTACTTTTTACAAATGATTCATAAGATATTGTTTGAATATTTTCGGTTTCCTCGTTTGGAGTTGGCAGATCTTCAGACCGTGATTGTGTAGGTGAGTGAGATGTCCTAGGGATGTATCGATATGAATGGTCTTTTCTTCTTGTGAAAATCGTATTTTTATGTTTGATAAATTGACTAATGATGGTAGATAAAGTGATTCTTTGGTCTCTCCTGATTGTTTGTTAAATGACTGAATAGTTTCTTTCCTTGATAATGTTGATATAAATGATGGATCAACTCGTTTTTCGATATCATTTGTTTGATTAATTTCGAATACTTTTATTTCTAATAGATTAAATGAAGACATGTAGGAGAAATCAGCGTAGATAAGATCTAGGAAAGAATTTGTTTCATGTTTTTCAATCCAGTTGTTATAATATTCATTCCATATTGATTGATTTTGATCTCTTAAACCATGAGTAGAACAGAAAATGAGTTCTTCTTTGCCAAATTCGATTACTTTTCGTAAAATGCTGTTGATATCATCATTTTGTTGAATTGAAACATCTTCCATATTGAAATATTTGATATTTTGTTGATTTAAATCATTGATAAATTTTGCTTTTGCTTTTAAAGACCGAATTCGTTCGAGACGATCATCAATTTTTTTCCAATAAAATTTTCGTTGTGTTCATCAAGATGTCAGGAGTTCATTTTTCTTTAAGTTTTCCACCTCGAAATTCGAGAATCTTATCACGGATTCTGTTGATTTCAGCTGAATAATCTTCTTTGACTTTGGTAATTTCTTGTTGAATTTCATTGAATTGTTTTTTAAGATGTTCACTGAATGATTCCTTGATTTCCCAAATAATCAACTCATTTAATTGTTTCATTTTAAACCATAAAGGAAGTAAATATTGTTTTAAATTCTTAATATCATCTTGATCTAATGGAACATAAATCGCTTTATTTTTTTACTTGAGATGGATAAAACCAGTGAATGGGACGGAGAAAACATTGCACTGGAATGATGACTATCTCTTAACTTATTCATGCCAACTATTTGTTGACATAGGTCGAATAATGTTACAGATTGGTTTAAATCTTGAAAATTCGAAAGGACTTTTTTAACTGTGAGTTGATTGAATTCTTTTTCTTCTTTTGATATTTTGAATTTTCTTTTTCTTAAATCTTGACTAATTTTTTCCAAAAAATTATCCATTTCATTTTCATTATCTGTAGATAATTGTAATAGAACGATAACATGAATTCCTGATGTAATTGCAGAAACAAGGTGTGTTGTCTCTGTATCAGCTGTTGTTTTTCGTATTTTTTCTCGAAGTTCAATCACATTGTCAGTGATACATTTTTCTTCCCTCACATAGCAATAATGAAGTATTCGGGTTTGTTTATTGACGGAAAATATTGCATTGATTAATGAAGTTATTCCTTCTGCAGAAACCATATTAAATACTAAACTCAACCATAGATCATCCTCGATACCAATATCATTTAGCAGATTTTCAACATCGATTAAATTGTCTTTGAATACTTTGCAATACGCAGTTTTATGTTTTACAGATTTACCTATGAAATCGATTGGCAATAATATGTTGCCAACGATACAATCTGTTCTAGCGTCATAGATAGAGCCAAGACTAACAGATTGTTGGACTGGTAAACGACCTATACATTCACCATCCATTGATCGTCCCAAAGGATTATCATCTTCTGACTTTGGTTCACTATGGTTGGGTTTCGCCATATGTCTAACAGAAAATGTTGACCAATAGATATCAAATGCTGCAGCGCATGGTAAATTTTTATGAAAAAAATTGCGAGACCCAATCTTTCACCTTCTGGTTGCTTAACAAGTTTTCATTATCTATAAGTCATATCCATTCGAAGAATCTTTTCAATAACTATGTGAAATTTTGGAAGTTATCGAAGAATCAAGATCTCATTCTATTCCATTAAAATTACATATGCATTTGTTCAGCATCTGAACTGTTTTTCCTACATTCTTTTTGATCACGGGTTCAAGTATTCGCCAGTGAAGAATATCTGAAGAAATATTCTATAATCGAATTCAAAGAAAATTTTACTAATCGATGCTCAGCATGAAGAGCTCGAAATTATTTTAATACAAATTAATTTAAAAACACTGGAAATAAAATAGATTTTAAACTAATACAATTCAAATTCATTTTCAAATATTTCTATTCTTTTTCCAAGTATCAAGTTACTTTGGAGTCCTGAAATCAACATTTTTCATCCGATGCTAACTAATAAAATATATAACACCAACGTCAACGTTTTTCTTATGTAAAATAATTGGATAGCAGAGATGAAAGTAAAGTGGACTCTCGCCAATTGGCGAAAGTCTTATTGGCGAAATTCGGGTAACCCTTTAGATTAGGATATCGATGTGAGTTCCAGTTTATTTTCTCCAAAATCCTCATCCATATTCCATTTGCATCCTTTAGGATGAAAGGTGTTTTCGTGAGTCAAAATCAATATAATATTCATATTAATCTCTTTCTCACATAGACAAAATAAAAATAAATAATAACTACTCTCATAAAACCAGATAACTGTGGAGTGTATACATAATTTTAGCCTCAATTTCAATTATTTTTCAAACAAGTATTATGAAATCGATGCATTTTTCAATTAAACTTTCTTTTCAGTTTTGATTTGGTTTAATTTTTTAAGAACCTCAACTGAGTTTATCTTGGCTCTATACTTCAAGACGAGACGACAATTCTGTTTTCAATTTACATCAAATTTAAGTGACAGGTGATTAATGATTACTTTTAATTTCTAAATCCCTTATTTCAATAATCATACGTTGCGTTTTATTGAATGGTAACTATTTCTTGGACAATATATATTGAATGTTATTATAATAAAAGAACGACGAGCGATATAACAGTTTTTTCTACGATCTTAACAAATGAATTAGATTCGTAGTCGAAATAGAAATAAATAACGAGACGGACTTAGACAAACTTGAATCCTTCTATAAGACTCTAAGCATGTTTTAACATGTATCTTAGTTTTTTTAGTGTCGCCTAAAACTTTTTTTACGTTACCATCATTTTTCTACTTACCTTTCGAAATAAATGACGCATGCAACGCCTTATTTTCTTTTTTGAGACTTCTGCTCTTACAGAAACGTTAAGAAAGATTTTAAAAAATGCGTAAAGAAAAAAAAGATGGCTGTTGCGCTGTGAAAGAACTTTTCGTTTCCTTATTGTAGCCCACATCATGTGTGCCCGAAAAATGAAAGAAAAATGAATTCACAAATACAAAAATCGTATGTCACATGTGTCGGAAGAAGGACAAAAAAATGACTTGAATTTCAGTTTAACAAGATTCATGACGCCACGGTTGGAAATATACAAAAATTCTATCGTATAGATTTTACCCTGAAGGGATCCTTCGGACATTTTAGAGGGTGTGGATGTGAATGTATTTATCGGTGTGCCTTCTTCTCTCCAATACACACACTCGAACCCACACCCACACTCTGCAACTCTCACTCCCATCCGTGCCCACACACGCACAAGTCATGCTTTAAAAATGAAGAAATTTTCATTTATTAAGGTAAATAATGGGTAGGACAGATTAAATGGCCGCACTTTGCATTTCAATTTTCAATCACTTAATGCGTTGTATTAAAAAAACAATACACTACAAGATGCAGCGCTAAAAGTTCTACATTTTATATAAGACTGCTTATTTTATGGTTGCACTTTTTGTTTTGAAAATGGACAACATTTTATGCAACCGATTTCGTATGGTGCGGAAAAGATAATTTTGTGGTAT